GTTAAGAATTTTGCCATTTTTAGAATTAAAAATGTCCGCCAATTTTTACTAATAATTAAGCTAAAAAAACACTTTTAAAAAGTGTCTCATGTCTCAAACTTTTAAAATAAATATAAATTTATTGTTGGGCCCACTGAATTTTTTAAGATTTTTTAATTTTTAGGGTGGTCGGATACTTTTTACCGGGGAGTGTACCATTACAAAATTGGGTGGTTGACGAGTTGCATATTTTTTTGCGAATAACAGATAGACTGTGGGAACTAATGATTTCTGATCTCCGCCGTGAGACTGCAAATGAAGAAATTTGGAAAGGAAAAATTTTATCAGAAATGCAAAGACTTAATATTTCGTTTCAATTTTGGCACGAAAAAAATACAAATAATCTGTCTTATACTTCGTTAATGGGTCCAGACAAATTAAAAGTTCTAAAAGAATTTGACCTTTTTGCTGTATTTCAATCAATAACACGAGCCATACAAATCCGTGCCTTATGGGATCAATTTAATGAACTATATCATCTAATACAAAATAAAAAAACAACTGGTGAATTTTTTCGTTATAAGGCCAAATCTTGGTTAGATGAATTTACAGCTCCTTCTACAGGACATCCAAATAGAGATAATTTTGTTAGAGGCATGTATCGTATTCAGGATATAACACAATATATTCATGTGTTATGCAATCATGTTGCGGAGTTTCTTGAAATTCATCATAAGTTTGGATTGGCAGCATTTTCATGTTCTCCAGTTGAAAAAAAAAATCATATGCAGATATGCCTTTATTTTCAAAACACATTGAAAGATGGAGGGAATAGAAATTCGCAAAAATCAGCAATTTTGGAAATGTTAGAGCATGAAAATAGGCAATTGTACTTTGCATCAAATAGAGTTCCTAATTTTTTTAAAAAATCCAAAAAATACAGACTCGAATAACAGGATTTTATTTGTTATCAAATAAAAAAAAAATGAAAAAACGTATTCAATTGAACTAATTTATCTATATAATTTTTTTTATTATTTGCTATTTACATTATAAGATTTTCTTTAAATTTGACATTGATATAAAAAAAAACGAAATTGAGCTGAACCTGCTTCAAATTTATGGTTCTCTTTATCTTTACCCCCTGTCACCTTCCATTGAACAGTCATTTCTCCATTAACTAATGATTTTGTTTTAGATTTTTTTGCACTTTGTTCATAATTACTATTTTCAAAATCAGGCATATGCAAACGGACAAAGCTTAATTGCCCTCATCCATAATTACGTTCTCCCCAAATTTCATCATCCAAGATTTTTCCAACTTCTTCAAAGGCTTTTTCCCCCTTAAAACTACAAAAATAAGAAGACCCACATGGAGAATAACGAGTTATATGATTTTTAAAAATACTAACAAAAGCATCTTCACTGCAATGTATTGAAAATACTTGTTTCCCAACAGCAGTGTGATGATTTTTAAGACGATTTTGCAACTCTTTGATTATAGCTTTTTTTAAATGTGAAAGTTCGGAGTTTGGAACTGACCGAACGTATGACGGAAGTGTATTGTAGGACACATGTTTTAGTGTTTCATGTCGTTGAAGTCCTGAGCGATTTTTAAACCCTTTTGCACGCCTTTTGCAAATAGAGCAATATAACTTAGTTGAATCTTGAGTAGACATGACTAAAAAAGAGAAATCTGTAAGTAAACAATAGCTAAAAAAAAAAAAATAGAGAAAACTAATAAAACAAATTCATAAATTTAAAGAAAAATCAGCAGGTTTAGCCTGAAATATATACCAAGGTTAGTCGGATGGGTTGAACGCATTTTTTTCGTTAAGTTATTTTTGTTTAACGATTAGTTAGATGGAAAATTTTATTTAATAAAATCTGTATATTCACATGACATAATATCACATGAATATCGAACACATTGGTATTATGTAATGGGACAGATAAGGCAATTATATCAATTAAATTTAAATGAACTAAACTCGCCCATATGATATATATTTCTGGGTCCTGAATCACTTCTGATATTCATAATTCCGGCCGGAATTATATGATCAGCACAAATTTTCTTTTTGGAATTTGTGTAATGCCACGTGACCAGTTTAGCTTCCAGAGTTGATTTTCAGAGTCAAACCGTTCGTTTCACTGAGCTGCTCGGTCAGCTCAAAAATGGCTCCAACGTTCAGTTTTAAAACCAATTTGAGTCACTCCATTTGGAACTTTTTCCATCCCTACTCACGGATCACGAATTAATATACAATAAAAAATGCTGACATAATAATTTAAATCAGGAGTCGATTGAGTCGTGTGCATAACATGACTCACAAGCTGACCAAAAAAAAAACTAGATTAATAAAAAAAACAGAACGCATGATATACACTTCATAAAAAAAAGGAAAAAAATAATAATAGTAATAAAATAAATAAAATAAGATAAAACAAACATCATTACTTTCAGTTTCAGATTTTTTACTTTAAAAAAGAATTTATCAGCCTTGGTAACTCGACAATATACTGACGTCTGATGGTAAGATTAATAATAAAAGAAATGCTTATTCGTGAAAAGATAACAAATTATCTCGACACATTTTACATATGATATTAGTATTTATTAACTTAAATTACTATTTTATTGTGCAAATGTTTAGAAATATTACAATAAAATATAATGATAATTTTTCCTTTCCCTATGACCTTTTCTGCAGATCCTACTGTCTATTTCAAACACCATAACATAAATTTTTGATAAGAAGATTTTTAGGAATAGAACAAAAGGTCCTAAATTTATTCTAAATTTTTCTTTGCCTATGTTTGTTATTTAACATGGAAAAACTATAGAATATATTAAGTACGAATCAAAAAAAATTATTCAAAGACATTAACTGTATATAACCATTTTCATTCGATTAAGAAATATCAATTTGTAAAGATTCTATTTAATAAATTAAAAATCAATTATTAGTATTATTATTATAATATTAAAAAGTGATTTGAATTATTATTAATTAATTAATACCTGAAATTTCCATGCCAATTATATTATCATTTCGTTCATAATAATCATCAGAATTTTTCGGTTCAGGTAGATTATCAAAATTAAGCAATCTACTTGCATAAAAAGTTTCCGAATGTGTTTTATATGATAATCCTAAATTAGTTGAAGGTATTTTATTATTTGATGAATTGTTGTTTATTTCGACCGTTTTACTAATTTGTTTTCGTAATTCTGTTGATAAACTCCATGGGTTAAAAATTTCATAAATTTCTTTTGCTGTTGGTCGATTTAATGGGTTTGCATCTAAACAACTTTTAACTAGATCAACGATAAATTGTGGTACTTTAATATTAAATCTTGGTCTAAGTCCTTGACAAATTTTTATTGCTAAATATTGATCATGGTTGAGATCATGATATGGAGGTAATCCAGAAATCACTTCATACATAATTATACCAAAACTATAAATATCTGAAGCTTCGGTATAATTTTCTCCTCTTAAAATTTCAGGAGCTATATATGGTAATACACCATACGTGTTGTTTTTTGCATTTTCTGATTCATTATAATCCGCAGGTTTACATAATCCCATATCAGTTATATAAACTGTATCATTACCCATTAGTATATTACCAATATGTAAATCTCGATGAATTAAGTTATTATTATGGATGGATTCAAGTCCCTTTGCAACATCACATAAATCTCTAATTTTTCTTTCCCAACTTAATTTATTATAATTTGTGTCTAAATAATTTCGTAAACTTCCATTTATTGCATATTCTAAAACCATCATATAATCTTTTGTTTCCGGATCTTGAGTTATTCCATAAAATCCAATAATAATATCATTACTTACTTTATGATGAGATGTTATCTAAATATAAAAATTAATACGATTAAAATTTTAGAATTTTCATTAATAATTGATCAAATAAAAATAAATTATACCTCATTCATGAATTCAAATGTAACATTTTTCGAATTATTTAAACTTTTCAACGCCACAACCATATTTTTACCATATCTTTCCCAATTTTGATTTTTATCATTCCAATCCCATATACGTCCATCAATCCAATTCGCTTTATATACTTTGCCAAATCCACCTTTTGCAATATATTTAATATTATAGAATTTATCATAAGGTATCCATTCTAATACATTTCTTGCATTTTTATGAGCTGATAATTGTGCATCTTGAATAATCTTATCAATATCATTATTACCACTAGTCCAACTTTTAAAATTTCGTTGAAAGTATATTGTATTACATATTTTATTACATTTTTTACATTTATCACTCAAAACCATCATATAATTTTTTGTCTGTGGATCTTGAGTTATTCCATAACTACTATGAATCTATTAAATATAAATATAATATATTAGTATAGTAAAAATAGGAAGAATCAAAATTTAAAATTTCGTTAAAACAATACCTCGTTCATAATTACTGATTTAACATTTTTTGGATTATTTAAACTTTTTAAAGTTACAAACATATTTTTATTACGTCTTCTCCAATTTCTAAAATTATTATTCCATTTATAAACATATCCATCAATCCAATTTGCTTTATATTCTTTACCAAAACTATCTTCTAAAATATATTTTATATTATAAAATCTATCATAAGGTATCCATTCTAGTGCATTTCCTGCATTTTCATGAGTTGATAGTTGTGCATCTTGAATAAGCTTATCAATATCATTATTACCACTAGTCCAACTTTTAAAATTTCTTTGAAAATATATTGAATTACATATATAATTACATTTCGCACATTTATTATTTAAAACGATCATATAATTTTTTTTGGGATCCTGAGTCATTCCATACAATTCATGGTCTCTTTTAATCTACAAATGTAATAATAATATGTTAGAAAAAAAAAATACTTATAATCTTGTTAATAAGCTTATCATACCTTATTTATAAATTCTAATGTAAGATTTTCTGGGGTATTTAAACCCTTCAAATTTACAAACATATTTTGATTATATCTTTTCCAATTTTGATTTTCATCATCCCATTTATCTATAAGTCCATCAATCCAATTTGCCTCATATATTTCGCCAAATTCATCTTTTGCAATATGTTTGATATTGTGAAATTTATCATAAGGTATCCATTCTAATGCATTTCCTGCATTTTTATGAGCTGATAGCTGAGTATCTTGAATAAGTTTATCAATATCATTATTACCACTGGTCCAATTTTTAAAATTATTTTGAAAAATAGTTGCATTACATGCATGATAACATTTTTTACATTCATCATTTAAGACCATCATATAATTTTTTGATTCTGGATCCTGAGTTATTCCATAAAGCCTATGATTGGTCTGATTGGCCTATAAATATAATATATTAGTAAAAATATTTAAATAATGCTTTTTAAAATTATAGTGAATTTACAAAAATATTTAAACTTTCATTCAAAAATGAACTATACCTTATTTATTAATTCTGATGTAATATTTTTAGAATTATCTAAACTTTTTAAATTTACAAACATATTTTGATTATATCTTTTCCAATTATGATTTTCAATATCCCATTCATCTATACATCCATCAATCCAATTTGCTTTGTAGATATTATCTTCTGCAATATAATTGATATCATAGAATCTATCATATGGTATCCATTCTAATGTGTTTTCTACATTATTATGAGCCAATAATTGTGTACCTTGAATGAATTTGTCGATATCTTTGTTACCACTAGTCCAATTTTTGAAGTTTTGTTGAAAAATTTTCGCATTACATATGATATTACACTTGCATTTATCATCTAATACAATCATATAATTTTTCGTTTTCGGATTTTGAGTTATTCCATAAGTTTCATGTTTCTTTTCAATCTAAAAGTATTGTAAAGATTAAAATTTTGTAAAAAAAAAAAAAAAAAAAATTATTTTTCATATAAAATTATACCTCATTCATAAAATTTAATGTAATATATTTTGGATCATTTAAACTTTTTAAAATTACAAACATATTTTTATTACGTCTTCTCCAATTTCTAAAATTATTATTCCATTTATAAACATATCCATCAATCCAATTTGCTTTATATTCTTTACCAAAAGTATCTTCTAAAATATATTTAATATTATAAAATTTATCATAAGGTATCCATTCTAATGCATTTGATATTTCACATTGATAATGAACGGATAATTGAGTAACTTGAATAAAAATATCAATATAATTATTGCCACTAGTCCAATTTTTAAAATTTCTTTGAAAATTTATTCCATAACATACACGTTTACAATTTTCACATATATCATTCAATTCTTCGTCAGTGTTTGATGACTTGATTAATTTCTTTATACAGTACATTTGGTTTTTAATTAAAATTTAAATTAATCTGAAGAAAGTTAAAAAAAATAGAAAGAATAAATAAAAAATTTTATATTGATTTAGGGAAAATATATAATTTCAGCCTGACTTGAGGCTATTGTATATATGGGAAGGTTTAATCGTCGATCATTTATTTGGTAATCATTACATCATAATACTTAAAGTTGAAACTAAGATATTAATGTGCCAATAACAAACATTGGGTAAATTTTTAACTCACAAATTAGCTAAGAAAGAGCTAAATTAAAAAAAAGCGGGAAGTCTACTTCATCTAAATAGAATCATAGAAACGTTTCCGAAAA